GACACGCGGAGAAGAGTAGAAGTAATAGGAGTAGCTGTGAATGAGTGACTCCTGGGCGACGCTCAGTTCTGTCGACGTCTTACCACTACCGCACTCGTCGTCTCTCTGTCTTTTACTTTCCGCCTGTTGGGTTTTCTTTATATATTTTGTTTTGCTTGCGTGTGCCAGTGTGTGCTTGGATTCTTAGCCATAATTTGTTGGCCTTGGTATGCCTCGTTCCTCCCTTTTCGTTGCTGCGTGTTTGCACTCCCTTGGTCGATATGATGTGTGTGGTGGGGGGGGGGGCGCCGCTTTCCTCTAGACGTTGTGCTTACTTCACCGTATAATGTTGTAATTTTGCGAGGTGCCATGCGGGGCAAATGACAACGATGCGGTACGCATAGCATACGCGTGTGCATTTGTGTGTGTGTGTGTGCTGTGTGTCTGGGCTCCGCGGGTTACGGTTGCACTCATCCCCGCCCACTCCTCCGCCCCCCGAGAGGCGAGGCGGTACTAAGGGACAGAAGTGAGACGCGAGCTCAGCGCGGTGAGCCTCCTTTTTAAAGCAAATGAGAAGAGTGAGGGCAGCTGAAACAAAAAAAAACACCCGCACACAAACAAACAAACAAACAAACATGGCTGGATGACTTCGATGAGAAGAGAGTGGAGGGGGGGGGGCGGTGGTGAACGAGTAACAGTGGGAGAATGCGGTGCTGACTGGTGCAGAAGGGAGACAACAGGGAGTGCATGTTACCTGCAGCAAGGCATATATACATACTTATATAGCAGCACTACAAAGCTGCAGGGAACGAGCTGACATGAGGCGTGCGCACGGAAGGGGAGGGGGAGGAACAAAACACCACTATAGAACAGAAAGAGTGGGAAATCACCACCACCCTCTCCATCTCCGTCTGTTTCTACTTCTTTGAGAAGAAAATGTATACATAAATTAGATATTTATGTACGTACATATGCATTTACGCCTACTGAGTCGCTTGCTAAGCCTCTGTAGGCAGGTATGCATCTCCGCGTGTGCGTTTACTTGATTTCCCGTTTTTGGTGCTCACGTGACGTCGTCCATCGCCATGGAACCCCCGACAACACACATACGCACACCAAGGTATACATATTACACAGCACATGCGCGCGTGTATTTTTATGTTACTACCACCTCCCCCCTCTTTGGACCACTCTTTGTTGTTGTTTCCCAGTTGCTTCTCCCATCCCTCCACAACTCCCGTCTTCACGAGGCAAGTATGCCTTTTTTTGTTGTTGTGTGTGTGCCTGCATGCACGTGCAAGCAGCAACCAATCAAATATGCACCCAACGAAACGAAGAGCAACAACAAGAACAATGAAACACGTAAGAAAAATGATGCTGTTAGCAAGCTGCTCTCTGCCAATACTGCAGTCTGTTTTTTTTTGGTGCTCTTTCTTCGTGCAATCGTTCCTTTCGTGCGCATGTGAGTATGCGTGTGTCCTGCTTCTTCTCTCCCCCTTCTACACTTACTCTCTGGCCCTTCTTTTCTGCCCGCCGCACTCTTTACTCGCTGCCCCACAGTTTAGCCACTAGGCAAGGCTTGCATATAGACACAGGGCTGCGGACAATGTCAGGGCGACAGGGCTTCGCTTGAGTGTAAGGAAACACCAAGCCGACAAAAAAGAAATAAAAAAAATGTTACGCGAGGCCAAAAGGAAGACACCACATGGGGCGGCGCTGCTACAACACCTACCACCACCTTCATCGTCATAAATACGCATACACACACACAATCAACAGGAAAAACCTATGAACTCCTTTTATGTACGTGTGCGTGTATGCGTGTGTGTGTGTGCATGTATGTGTGTGGATTTGCGTTGCAGTAATTGTGGGAGCTTGCAGGAGTGATGCTCAACTCTCATGGGGCCTTTTTTATTCATTTGTTTATTCTTCCATTCCTCTTTGCTAAGAGCGACCCCAATTGAAACTATATTCCTCTCACTTTATTGCCGTAATCATCGCGCTAAAGGCGACTTTTGAATGCCCGCCCAACCCAACTCGCCCCGCCCCGCGCTGGTGAAGGGCTAAAGGCCGCTTCCCTCACCTTCATCTCGTCACTGTTTATAGCGACTACGGTTACCAGGGATTTGCCTGGGTTTACTGTGGGGGGATAGCACGAGCTTGCGGAGGTTTTTACGGTGGGAATGGGAGATCAACTAAATAATTTCTTCTTGTTTCTTCTTATTTTGTGTTAGGGGAAAGTAAGGATTAGACTGTTCTGCTCTGGAAGGCGTCCGTCTTGTGCCCTGCCTAGTGAAAAGAGTCACCCTGCAGTTCGCGATCATCACCACGGTCGGTTAAGTGCAAAAATTATTCGTTCACCATTCTACAGTGACGCTGATGCGCAATAGCCCACGAGGTATGCAGCAGCAGCCTCCCTACCGCGGGGGCCAGGCTGGATTCTATCAGCAACATCACAGCCCTCATCAACACCCGCAGGTTATGGGGCGACGAAGCAACAACGTCAGCCCGCTGGGTGGAAGCCGGAGTGGTAACATGGGCACTCCTCCTCATCTTGATCGCCATCGCACGATACGTTTGGTGCGTCCCAGCAGCAATACTGTGGTTTGTACGCGTCTAAACCGTATTATCCCAACCTTTGCCGAGGCAAAAAGTGGTGCAGTGGTATGTGAGGAATTTATGGATAATAAAAACTGCCCATATGGCGACTCATGTACGCAAGTACATGTTGCAAGGGAACACACATGGGACTTCATTACATCCGAAACCAATAGAAGCACGGGTCTGTTTGAACGTGGATTTGTTGTTCACTGCTACGATCCGCGGATGACACGGTACTACCCGATACCCAGCGAATTGGTCTTAAATACACGCGGCAGTCGCGAGTATATTAAGATGTACAACGAACATGGAGATAATTTTAAGGCCAAATTCAAACTCTGTGAGCGTATGCTTACTTGTGGGGAATGCAGTTTGGGAGAATCTTGCGATGATATTCATGCCATTCGAAACGATCTTTGGAATATGGAGAGCACAACCACCCACATTGCAGAACCAGAGCAGTTATCACACTATTCTCGTCTTCCGGCGAATGTTACAGTGCGCGCCTTTGAACAGAATAGTAAGGATTCCTTTGTTGATTATCCCGGTGATCAGGTGCTTTTGACGTTGGGCTCCCTTCAGTACTTGGCGGCGTTTGAAGCTGAGGGTGCTATTCCAAAGAAAAAGATGCAACACTGTGCTCATTTTCGGACCAATCGCCTCTGCCGAAGAGGTGAAGACTGTCGTTTTCTCCATATTGTGACAGATATGCCTGGATCGGTTGGTAATTCGGTTTTGGGGGAAATAAGCCCCCAGAGCGTTTCTCGTGGCGATTCTCCCACCTCCGATATCACCGTCAACCCGCGTGTTCGCCACGGTGGTCCTTTCATTAGTGGGGGTCAAGTGGCTGCTAGGTTTGCACAATGGTATTATCCCGGGGTAGCTGACGCGGCGTCCTCAAATGTCATTCAGGGCAACGCAGGGGACCCGACGTTCAGCAGCAGCGGCGTCGGCACGGAAGGCAACAACCCTGCATTCGTAGCACAGGGGGAGCCTCCAGCGTCGAGTGTGACGCCTCCAGCTATTGTGCCGCCTCGAATGGCTTCCCCCAATCCGGGACAAATGGGCATGACCAGTAGGATGCGAATGATCAGTCCTACGCGGCGCAACGATCCGTACCGCATGTACCCTGAAGGGGAGACACCCCCCTCGAGTTCCCATTGATTGGAAACGAATACGTGGCACACGGATAGAGGTTCTTTGCTCTATGTATCTACAGTATTGTATGGCACTCTTGATGCTGAGCCGCAGGGGTATCTGGATAGTGTTGGGTGTAGCCTCAGTAAAGCAGCAAGGAGTGGTACAGGTTTCCCGGGCCAGTGTTGCTGCCCCAACCAGGTAAAGTGCAACCGACCGTGAGCTACAGTCCCACGAAGGCGGAATGGGGCAAGAAAAGAAAGAAAACGAAAAACAAGAAAAGTGTGTGAATTTAAAAAAAACGAACCCACACACACATAAAAAGTGATTAGAAGCAGCTCGGTGTGCGTATGGGGGCGGATATGCGAAAGAGACGAGAACTCTGGAGAGAAGCCAAAACCAGTACGGAGGCAAAATGAGAAATAAGTTTGAGGAAAGGGGAAAGACGAACAGGCGACGCTAGGGGGGAGCAAATAGGGTGAAATAAGCAGAGAGTTGGGCGTGTGAAAGTTGAATGCACACAAACACACACACAAAAATAAAATTAAAAAAAAGTAGACCTAACTCATGTGGAAGGATTTGGCGTAAAGTGCAACCGAAAAAAGAGAAAGTGTCTGGTTTCTGGACTAAAAAAGTGGTCTCGG